ATGGGGAGATTGCATTAGTCTAAGTCTGGTGTGTAAGTGAGGCTATGGGTATTGATGCATGTGTTTGAAAAGGTACTGAATTGACGATGACGGAAAATGTTGATCCCCCCCGATTTTCTCCTGCCCAGGACGGGGGGAGGTTCGCTTTCAAGTCCGCCGTGAATCTGTTACGATCGGCTAACCCGGACCATCTGGACTCGTCCTACATGGACAGAGACGCCTTTAAGTTCGTCATCTTTCGAAGGCAAGAGTGCGAATCTTTCAAACAGGAATGGCTTGTCTACCAATTGTTTTTGCCCCCCACCCCAGGGGAGCCTATAGTAGTCATATCACGGAAATCTATATCATCCTTACAGCCCCATGAAATCCCTACCAACGAAGTCGTAATGAATTCGTACCGCTCAGGATGTGGAAGTGGATCCGGTTGGTGGTAAAAGGAATTTACCTTCTTCGATTTAATCTTGCTACATCAGTTTCACAAAACACGGTGGAAGAATGTTGTCGGTTGCGGGTGGTTCATCAAACCGTGCATACACCCGCCCTTTATGTACTTCAAGTTTCCTGTCCGTCTGTCAGCGTCTCTAAGTTGGGGGTTATCTCGCCCGTAAGGGTGGTATTTGGAGTCATTGGTGGAATTCTCGCCTGTAGAGGAGTAAAAGTGTTACCGTACGTGAGTACAAAAAATTCGGGCGAGCGCTTGGTCTACCTCCGATTCTCCGTCGAGGGCCAGCTTGTTTGTTCTTGACCAACCACCGTCTACCTGAGGCGATCATATTGGATTGGAGTCGCCACGGAACTCTCGTGATTAGAACGATGGTTTCTTATTTCGCCTCCTTCTCAGCCGCATTCGTTCAAAGAACCAGTTTTCTTTCGAACCCTGGGGTACGTCCGTGTACTACGACCGTGTCATGCAAGCAGGCGAGAGAGCAACCCGATCACCAACACTGGCACACATAGCCGTCTGTTTGACCACAGCATGCCCCGTCGACCGAACGTTTCTTGGCTGCCTCCTCCGTGGCAAGGTTCGACATCGTGATGGACGATCACCTGCTAGATGAGATCTTCGCACGGTTCGACCCAGAGCGAAGCGGCAAGGTCAGATGTTATTTTTTTAATAACATCGACACATACTTGCCGGTGTCAACACTGGTAGCCGCAAGGACATGAGGCCCATTGATGGAATAGCTATTGATGCCAACTCTTGACTTCATGATTTTACCTAGGATAACCCCACGTTACCCCCCTTCCCTGAACAACCAATTATTCGCGACTTGCGGACAACATCAACGACGACGACGGCGATAGATGGCCGTCCACCGACTGGTTCAATACCTGCTGCCGTCAAAGGACGACTGCTCGCACCACCTCGTACCCAAGACGGACGAGCAGGGGAAGGCCACAAAGACCCTCCTCGGCAAGGTGTTCGGGATGACGGGAAAGCGAAGGGAGATGATTAGCCTGAACGGGTCGGGAGTGGACGATCCGCAGGGCGAATCATTGCTGGAGAGGATGGCCGCAGGCGACAGGGGTGACGGAGAGGTGGGCTCTGGGTCCTTTCTCGTAGGTCGCCGTCGTTTCGTTTGTGTGAAGAAGCAAAGGTTGCGGCTTCACATGCGTCCTGATCGGTGCTGTTGTTGAATTCGTAGAGGTGTCTTTAGGTTCATCTAGGCGGAATTATAGTTGTTTTTCGTAGTTCTTGTTTGTTTTGGTAATGCGTAGATCTAGGCCGCTCCCACGCGGAGTCTTGGACGGTGCTGTGTATGCCCCGTTCTTCTGTGGTCTATGGGGTTGATCACCCGCACACAACTAGGGCTGGGTGGGCAAGTGCGAGCCGTTTGGTGAGTTGCCACTTCTGAAACGTGCGCGACGAAAACATCATCCATGTGGTAGGGTGAATGGCGCCTTCTTGAAGGGTATTATTTCCCGCGCAAGTATTACGGACTGCTACATACAATAATAGTGCCGTTCCAAATGTGCTGCGAGAATCCTTGTCACGGGATGGTTAGTCCTCCTATAGACGAGACGGGCGGGGCCACCCCATCTCGCGAGCAAGTCGCACGCAGTACAGACTCGAATATGAAATCCGGCGTGACGAATATCACCTCTGCTTTGCCATTTGCCGGAATCTCTCAGACGGCCGACAAAGGGAGGTAGATTTACCCTCCGAATTATATATGGCGACATCGCGACAGGGTCACACGGATCGCCCCGCCCCCCCCTTATACCTCTCGTTTTCCTCTTGTTATCGCAATGAAACACAGAAAATCAAGGCCGAGCTTGCGCGAAAAGCCAAGGCGGCCGCAGTCGCGGCTACCGCTAGAGAGATGGCCGCCGTCGAGGCCGCCCGCGGCGGCGGTCCGGCAGTCACGCCCGCGGCGCTTGCGGCGGCCGCAGCGAGGCGGCGCGATAACTCCCCGCTAGTGTTCAACGGTGACCTTATGCCTACTCCCGGTGCAACTGGGACGGCGGTGCAGCATGCAGCCGCCGCTCGACCCGAAACGTCCTCTACGAACAGCGGCGGAGGCAGTGAAGGCGCTGGGGTCGGCGGCGGCGGGGGNCGAGGCGGCGCGATAACTCCCCGCTAGTGTTCAACGGTGACCTTATGCCTACTCCCGGTGCAACTGGGACGGCGGTGCAGCATGCAGCCGCCGCTCGACCCGAAACGTCCTCTACGAACAGCGGCGGAGGCAGTGAAGGCGCTGGGGTCGGCGGCGGCGGGGTGGGGTGGGGAGGATCACGGCAGAGTTCCACCGGCGAAGTTTCTCTTCGCGAAAGAGAGAAACGCTTGGACGCGCGCGAGGCCGCCCTCCGAAGACGGGAGGACGCAATAATGGCGACTGACAAGAGTGACCAGGTTTCGCCGGCAAGCGTTACAGCCACTACCAACGACGCGGTAGACTCGGGAGCAGCAAATGGCGCAAGGGCAGCAGCGAGGCCGCGGCCACCGAGTCGGGAGAGAGAACGACCGGCATCGGCCACGGCTCTGCGGCGGTATATGGGTGATCGCCGACAGCAGCAGCGACGTAGCTCGAGTAGCAGGCCGGCTTCTGCGACTGGCAGGGAGAGAGGCACCATGAGCGGCCACAATAATGATTGTCGACCTACTAACGCAAACGGTAGTCGGGGTGCGCCGGGAGCAAGTCCACGACAGAGGGAGGAGGCCGACTTGATAGCAAGGTGCCGGGCCTTAGACGCCGCCCGGCGTAAAGCGGCGGCGACTGTGGCGGCAGGCCGGCAGCGGAGTACGCCCGGGGACAGGCAACACCGACCGGAAGATGGAGTGAATCGAGCGGCGCAAGCGGTCCCCCCTCGCCACCCAGGAACGGCCAATGACGCTGACAAATGTCCTGTCTCTGCTTCGTTGCCTTCGAGGGAGGGTGTTTGGCAAGCAGGGGAAACCGGCACAAGCACCGGTCGGGGCGATGGCAACCTTACCATGGGTGGCCCTCAAGCGGGAGCTAGTAGCAAGGCGACCGGGACAAAAGCGGCCGATGGGGCCGAAAGATTCCCCGCTCGCCCTCAGTCAGCTGCGTCCGCGCGCCGGAAAGCGGACTCGCGACCTCCTAGCAGCGCTAGGCCTCAATCGGCATCTTCTTCGCGGAGCGCGGGAGGGGAACCCCGCAGACCGCGACAAGAGCGGTGGGGCGGTGAGGCGGGAGGTGAAATCAGGTCGAAGCAGGTGAGAGGTGCACACTACAGTACTTGCGTTAAAAATGTCGTGTGTTCCGCCCGGCGATTTCGGGTTTGTTGTCCCGAGGCGAGATGCCGTCGAAGTGTGAGGAAAGGCAACGCGCGATTTCCCAAGGGTTCGTCCGTAAACACATGCTGAGCAGATTGTTTCCAGCCAAGGGTAGGACACGAAGAGGTTTCTGCGCCAAAAGTCACAAGCACGAAGGACGTAGCTCGATTTCTCTTACCTGTATGTATTGTACCAATGTGGGTCATCCACAGCGTCTATGTCTGAAGGCGGGTCTGCCGGACCGGTCACTGACGTTCCCTTCGTCGCACTCCGAACGATGAAGTGAGTGCGCCAGCAACTTGCAACTATTGCCAACCGCCGATGTCCCTTTCCTGGTATGCTGCACTACCACACCCGATGCCTACAAGTGACCCCTCTGTGAAGATTCTAGTTTGTTTCCTCTTCTTCAAAAGTATAATCATGTTGCCCAATTGCGATGTCGACCCCCCCAGATTGAGCCAACGGCACAGGGCAGTGATCGAAGAGAAGAATATTTCGACCGGGGGATGCCGAAGCATGGACCGTCGCCCCGTCCAGCCTCCGCTAGCCTTGCCGAAGGCGACCGGTGAGATTCCCATTGAGTCGCTAGGGCGCGCTGTCGGTGTCTTATCGTTGGCGTTGTTCCGATAAAGCGGGAAAAAATATGAAACTGGCGTTGGGGATCCATGTCGTTCGTTCGTCGATGTAGCCATTTAGAAGCACATCGAGCTTCTCTCCTGTCGCTGAGAAGGTGTTTTGCTCCCACCCGTCCCAAAGCTCTTGTTATCATGGCATAGCGCCAACTGCATCCCCGACGTGAAGCCTCGCCTGTTGTTCTAAATCACCGAGTCTTCGATATGTGGGCACACAATACGAATACTTCACATTGTCTAGCCAACGCCAACACAAGCGCCTCGATCCTTTCTGACGATAGCCTACGGTTGAGAGTCGTCCTACTGTACACATATACGTTTCGTGCACAGTGCTGCCGTGCGAAGGTCAGTAGAGGTACATAGCGGTGCCATGGACACATTTCCTCGAAAACACATGCCGGAGCAGCAACAATCCTTCTTTCCCGCCCGCGCCGCCCCGGAACCATCCCCAGGGGGGAGCGGTACCGAAAGAGACTGGACAGCGCCTACGCCTTGCAGATGAGAGCAATGCAGCGCCTTCAGAAGAGACGCGCCCAGAGCGCACACAAGCGGTCCCCGGAGCGCCCAGCTTCGGGAGGTTGTGAGGGCATCTCCACGGGACAATTCAAGTCGCGATACTCGGGCCTGGACCGTTTTGTGCTTGCGCGTACTGGGGAGGGGGCGCGTGACGGCGGGGCGGCCGCCCAAGTTGGGGCAAGTCGATTCGGCGATGGGGTGCCTTTCTACGGATGAGTTGTCTTGTTGTGTTTTTCCCGGTACGGAGACCGTCGAGATTAGTCTTGTGGAAAATGTTGTCGCTGTAGTTTCAACCCGGATGCTTCGTACCACAGCTTGAGAGATGCCACCGACATGATTCGCTTCGTGTACGTTTGGTAGCCGCACTTTTTGCGCGTTTCCAGGCCGATGGTGGTTTTTCGAACCGTGGCGGCAACAACGGTACTTCACTCTGTCGGATCAGATAAGTCCCTCCCTTGAACACTCTGTATTCGCGAACTCCTCGTTACATCGTTGCTTTCCCTCAAACCTTCGTTCCTTGACTACTGGCTGAACGGGTGCTGCCCCTTGTCCGCCATACGGTGGGGAGAGGCGAGAGGCGGTGAAGGGCAGTCCTGATCGGTTTATTCATGTTTGCGCGCAAGGTACGGGGCATGCAGAGGTCGACCACCTATTTCACGGACGGAAGAACTCACCGGTCCCCAGCGTCAGACAAGAAATTGGTGGCGACCATTCCAAGCCGTTGTTCTCCTCCCTTTGGACAGCGTGCCTTCCTTGCTGAGGGAGGCAGTGGCGGTGCTTCTGCCCCCTTTCGAATCCAACTAGCTGTCATCACGTCTTCACGACAGTCGACTTGGCCAAGGAACAATGCCGGACGACGAACGTATAGAGGCGTGATCGGAAGCAACATCGATGGGAAACAGAGCGCTGGAGCACCTTGCTCACTCTGGTCTTACGGTGCAAGCTCCCAAGGAACCACGCTTTCTCCCATGCAGTGGAGCTCTTGTGGCCCCACGCGAGGGAAATGAAAAAAAGACCAGGCAGATTATGACAAAACCGGGGCGAGACCGAGAGGGCACCCCTAAGCGTATCCCCCATTTCGCGTCGCACAGGATCGCTCTTTCATGAACACCCACGTAGAAAACTCGACGAGAGCACCAGTAGAAAAGTCGCAGCAGGCACAGCGGAACGATGAACACTCTCTTGTATCATGCCATGTCCTTTTCCAAAACATACAAAGGAGCACGTGGAGGAGAACCATCTCAGTCTCAAGGAGGCTTAACGTCCTTACCTGGACACACATGGCCACCAGAGGAATAACGAGTACCACGAGAAATACACATACCACGGAACCTCCCGTTGCTCTCGCATTGGTCGCCGCTAGCCCGCGCACGGGAAGAGCGCCACAGCCCCCAAAAAAGCCACCTGCGTGCGGCCCCTGCCAACACTGGGCATCCAAAGCTGAAACGTCCGGCGACGAGTACCCTTGAGCTCGATATCCCGAAAGAGGAGAATCAGCTTGCTCTTCCAACCGGGAGGCCATCCTGGAGGGGAACATATTGTGACGCGTACAGACACCCAATATCTCCTCTCCACCCGCGTACATGTGACACATCTCCCGTACTCAACAGTCCTTAATACAACATATCAACAACGCCCGAAATCAGACAGGCCGCGACAAGCCAGCAGCAGTCGCGAAATTTCAGTACATTTTTTTGCCGCCCACCACAAAACATTATTACAATCTTTGGGGTTCGGTGTCCACCATACCAACAAGCCCTCCTACCGCCTCCATACATAAGAACACTCCCCTTTTGTTCATTGGCAAAACACACGTCACGAAAGCCTACAACATGCGGTTTGGCATAGCATGAACTTGTGTGTTTTCGTTGCCTTCCTTCGTTTGCTTTTTCCTTTTTTCCCCGGGCCAGAGGGTAACTCTTTCAAAACACCTCAATTTTTTTTTGTTATTTGACAATACATACACAATATTTGCATCCTCCTTTCCTCACTCCTTTCCTCTCCACCTACCTTTTCTCCGGCCGACCGCCGACACAACAGCTACTGTACCCGACACGCGCACAACCAATCCACCCCCAGACGTCCGTAATCCTTCCTCCTAATTCCCACGACCCACCCACTCTTTCTATGGGGTCTCGTCCGCGTCACCCCCGTCCTCCTCCTCGAGGATCTCGCTCTCGAAGTAAAGGTAGTCTTCCCAAGTTTCGTGAATTTCGAGGGGCGGGTACCTTCTAGCCTTGGCCTGCAGCTGACTGAACGTGGGCGTGACCGGGTACTTGGCGAGGCTCATTCCTATGGACTTGAGGTCTCGCGGGTGGCAGTCGCTCTTGCGGTTGTTGCATCTAGACGCGTACAAGCACGGCGGAAAAGCAATATGGTTGTGGGCGTCGTAGGGTGGGGAGGGGAGAGGGGAACCAATGTGTGGTATGTTGAACGTATTGTCGAGGTACCTCCCATGGCTCTGCTACATGCGACCCGTCGCGAGGACACTTGCCATACGGGTAACACGAGGGCACGCTCTGTTTTTGGGGTGTTCGGTAGAGCGCTGATCTACGGGGCCTCCGGCGGGGGTTCGTGTATGGTGACGTGGGCATGATGGACATGACGCGTGGGGCTCCTGTTATTGCCTCCCTCATGCCTGTCACTGGCTATTAAGTAATCAAGGTCTCGAGTCAACCTCCTTCGGCCAATGACGAAGCTGCTGGCCCCAAAGAGCACTGACACACAGGCGCGGAGAAGCAGCAGCAGCAGCAGCAGCAGCAGCAGCAGCAGCAAGCAGCAGCAGTACGTACCTCCCGCACGCGGTGACGACGTTGTCCCAGGTGCCCTTGCCGCCAAGTTTCTTGGGCACGACGTGATCGAAGCTCAGGTTGTGCGGGGCAAAATACTTTTGACAGTACTGGCACTGGTGCGAGTCGCGCAGGAACAGGTTACGCCGCGTAAAGGGTGGATGGCTCCTATGATTATTCACAAATTCCTGTGGCGGTGTCGAGGAGCGCGTAGGGAGAGGGGGAAAGAGACGTCGAGCTCCGTGCATCAGCGAGAGCAAGCACACGCTGTGCAAAGAGGGTAGAGAAAGTGCAACCTTACCAGCTTGGCAAAAAGATTGGCTTCGGAATGCTCGCCAAATAAAGCAGCAGGGATTATCATATCCATCAACACCCCATCATTTGCGGTGCGATCACAGCCCAGACGATGCCAGAGGCGCTCTCGGTTGATTGCAAACGGGTGTGGTGTAAAGCACGGATCACGCATCGTGGTCACCTTGAGCGTTACATGCTCCTGGAACATGCGTGGATCCCGGGCGACGCAGAAAAACGCTCTTAACAAACCACACCGCGTCGGAGCTGCCCAGGCAGCACAATACACAGTACTCCGCTGTGGGTACTCGCCTACGGGACAACTCTCTCTGTAAGAGGACAACCACTCGCTTTGGAGTAAGACAAGCACGGCGGCCACCCGCACTTCCCACCTTGAGAGCAATAACGCTCGGGAGCTGTACCACCACGCTGGGGGACCGAATGGAACGATCCCCGTAGGTGGCCAACACCACAACCTTCTCGCTGAACACTGCCTTGATCACATCCTGCCATCCCCACAAACTGCAGCGGGGTGGGGAAGAGAGGGAAGTAAAGGGAGGAGGCCGGTGGTGCAAGCAGAGCCGATGCGGAAGCGTCGGTAGCCCCATGGGCGAGTCGTTGTCGAGTAGTGTTGGACTAGCACGGAAACTACAAAAAGAAGGTACTGAGTGGATACCGGAATGTGAAGACAACAGAACCGGAACGTGAAAACAACCGCACCAACCTCATCAACAGCAACAGCAACATCACTTGATGGGTGGTACTGTATCAAACGCCCGTCAACGCGAAACCAACACGTTAACGGCGGGTTGCAACAGGGCGAACATGGCGCAAAAGCACGCTGATGTGCAGCAGAACATGACGTACAGGTAGACCAGGACCCCGAAAAAAGCCTTTACTCGTGTTAAGCAACCGCAACACCCCACATTGAGTTTCGAAGGGGTTTACATCGTTTTCAAGAGACCACGCCAAGATCTCTCGGTTGTCACTTTCGGGAAAACTAGAAACATCATGAATGTATATCATCCTCCTTCACCAGCTCGAGGTTGCGACCTATTTCTTCTCCCCGATGTCTGGCAAAAAACATATTGGTAGCCTCTTGTGCGCCCGGGTGACACAAATTCTTGCCTGAGGGGGAGGTAGGACAGGGGCTGGTAGTCGGCGTTGAGCACGAGACAAGGGCACGAGTCGATCCCCCCGTTAAAGTTGACCGTCCTCGTGCGGCGGCTGCCCTTCTTGTTCTTCGCGACCTGAAGAGCCACCTCGTTCTTCATCTTGACTGGCGGTAGGTTGGTTGTCGCGGTGACAGTAGGGGACGATGGGTGGGGAAGGAGAGGTACTACAGCGGTTAGCCCCCTGCACTCCAGAACCTCTAGTTATTGCCGGAGTTGGGAGTTCTTGGTTCCTTGGGTTATGCTATGTACGGATGACCGCCAACAAGGTCTCAAGTGTAACGGTTTTAGTGTAATGGTTATTTGACCGAGCTCATAGATGTTGCTCAAGTTCTTAGATTTGAGTTTGTTAGCCTCAATTCCTAAACTGCCGATTCAAGTGCGGATGCAAACTGCGGGGGGCGAAGAGGAGAAGGGGGCAGGGGGGGATATGGTACTAGACTGTCAGGTGGAGAGGACAAGCCTGCGTGGCGACAAAATCGGGCACGCGAGGGGAAACACAAAATACAAGACACCCCAATCGAATCCTGGGACTCCTCTCGGCGAGGGCTGCCTCTCGTAGAAAAGGAGGTATTCGACAAGTCTTATCATCTTATCATCCAGTCTAATCGTCACGTTGAATCGTGCATGAACAGGAAGACGGGAGGCAGGTCAAGTCAACACGGTCAGGTGATCTGATGCATTTTATCATTGATGTATTTCATCTATTGCAGACAGGCTTGCTAATTGTACCGACGGGGTGCATATGTCTTGTCATGTAGCAGAAGAGTAACAAGTGCACCATCACGGATGTAGCGGCGGCAACGATAGCTGCAGGTACCATTACCTTTTTCGGTCCTCAATTTTGGAGTATCACAATTACGGCACAATCGGACAACATTTTTCCCTGTGCCTACCAAATTTGAATGTTTGAATACTCGTCTACTGCTGTTCTGTGCACGTCCTTGTAAGCGGGCTCAGCAGCGAAGGGCGGGGAAGCGGTAAAAACGATGGCACGCCCAGCACTAATGCTGTTGCCTAGTAGACAATGCGTTCAAGCTCTTTATTTAGAAAATGGTAAGACTGAGCTCTTGCGACACAGCACCACAGCAGTATACTTGTAACGGGGCAAAGCAGAGGCCTCCCAACACCTTCAAAAAGCAAGAAACCTGAAAAGGAACAACGGACCCATGGTCCTTCACAGGTAAATCTTTTATGTAGGATTGACCCCAGCCGCCGGCACTGCATGGTAGACTACTGCTGTAATAGGCCTATGCTCAATCGTAGAGACACAGCAAGTCAGACCGTTGAGCCTTGTTCAAAGCACGGGTTTCTTAAGAGTTGGTCAGCACTGCTGCTGCTGCTTTTTTTAGTCAGTGCAGGTGGGTACACATGGGCTACCGACCCAGACGCCGAAAGGGAGCCAACTGGAAGTGTGTCGTGTGTGCAACGTTGCCAAGTTTGAAAAATCGAATCCAGACCTCAACCCCCGCGGCCCCCACGGCATTTCTCTTCAACTACAACAATGGGATGATCATCCGCTGCCGTCACCAGGGCCAGCACCAGCATCACAACAGACAGTACAACAAGACACAATACAGACACAGACACAGCCAGCTTGGTAGCTCTCATGGGCGACATGCCCGACATATGTAGACACCCTGCCGACGTTGACAAAAATCAAATCTTCTTCGACCTTGGCGAGAACGAAGCAACCCTCCACACACTGACCGAAAGCAGCGTGGGAGTAGCCCTCCACGTTAGCAGGAGGCCCGCTCCGTCTTGACCTAACGGGCTTCTTCCCCGCGTTCTTTATTTTCATCGACAGCAGGTTCTCCGCCCGCCCAGCCGGCGCTACAGCCTGCTTTGCCAGCACGATTCCTCTGAAGGCCGGATCGGCTTGCCCGCGGAGAGAAAAAGACGACACAGAATACGAGGAAAAGGCGAACGCCGAAGCGCCTTGCGCTGCGGCGTTCATAACACAAGCTCCGAGGAACCACGTCTTGGAACTCGCCCCATTATTCTTCGATCTCTTTCGGTGCGCCATTTGTACCCAGGCGTGAGAGACAGGTGCGGTATTGCCCAAATGAACTGCTTCTCTGGTACGTCCAGTTTGCATCTCCCACAAAATTCGGTTTGGCTATGTGGCATCTCTGGGAAAATCAAATCGCGGGACCCCCGATTTATTGCCCGCCTCGCTTTACCTGCTCTCGGCGCACACAATTCACTTCCACGAACTCAGTCTGCCTTCCCACATCACCTAACAACCAAGACAAAAGAGATGACGAATTCAGCCATCAAGTGCATCATCGCAGCCACCCTGGCCTTCGCCGCTCCGTCAGCAGCAGCGTCGAGAAATGGGAGCGGGCTGGACCTGTTGCATAACGTCGGCGGGAAGAACCAGCGCGGTGAGCGAGAGAGTCTCTGCGCTGTCGAGAAAAAAAAACAGTTCCTCGCCCACCGAATCAAACATTCGACACCTCATGTGTCGCCTGCCTCTCTCTCGCAGAGAGCACCCGTAGCAGGCTGGTAAGACAGAGGAGAAGCCTGTGCGGTTGATGCCACCCTGAAGTTCTCCTGGATGAAGAAATCCGAGGGACGTCAGATGGTGTTGTTCGCCTTGTTGTCTTGGGGTCCTCTAGGCGTCGGGTCGTTGCCCCTCCGAGATAAGCACACGCTCTCTTGGCTTGTGCCTCGTGGAGCGTACGCGCACGTGCTTGCATCACACCACGGAAGAGGCGTTGTCTGTCCTTGTCCAGCGATACGCTGATGCCTCACCCACTCGCTCAACACCGTGGCCCACCGCACAGACACAATCCTCGAAACGGTAGTGGTGACATGCGAACGCGGCACGGACTTTTTTTTCCGCCATTTTTTGAGAGCTGGCAGAAAGATCACGTAAATTCTGATCAGCAGCGGCTCTCATATTTCCATCCCCGTCGCTAGGCGACACCTGGGTCAGACCCGAGCGCGACCTAGCGGCAGCTTCACAGTACCTCAGATTTTACACTGTGGCTGTACGAGGGTCGGAGGTCCGCTCCCTCGTTTCTCGCGTAAATCTTCTGATAAATGAAACAAAACCTGCCTCCATGCACGAAGAACAAATCCGTTCCCACGGAACGGCATCATCCGTCGGGCACCGTTTGCTGGACGCGACGGGCGTGTATCCCATATATATACTCATCGCATGGGACAAACTCCACAGTGCGTCTTTCGATTCGGTAGTGTAGCTAGGGGGATGAGATCGTGGGACCCATCGGGTGGTGGCCATCAAAGGTAGCAAGGGTCTCACGATTGCAGAAAGTGCCGCAGGCAACAAGCAGCAGCAGCAGCCCTTACGTGCGGTTTTTTATTTTTCTTAAAAAAACAGACGTACGTACTTCAATTCAAGATGCTGTAGAAGTTCGTACGGATCATGTGCAGTTAGGTGTTGCACCTCTGACTCGTGTGTCTCCCGTGAGCATTGGTCACCTCGAAGCCTCCCTACCTCTTCGTCTCGAACCCCTCGTGACGTGCTGCACCTTCTCCATCGATATCCGCTCCCCAACCCCCAAGACCTCGTCGTCAAACACCCGCGATTTTGCGACGACCACACGGCCGTGGTTTCTTGTCCAACACGTTCAGCCCCTCGCGCTGATTGGTCGGACCCAAAAGCCAAGTTGTTTCTGAGCTTCGTGCAACTGCAACAGGCGCGATATGTTCAACACGAACGAGTAGTCTTGCACCCACACTGGCGTACGTCTTCCGATTGATCGGCCATCCAATGTCCAATCGGTAGGATTCTACATAGCGCAGTCGTCCCTGCAGCAGTAACATGCGCACTCGACATGTGATTGCCGTTTGTGCAATCAAGACACAGGACATGGCTGAGAGGAGTGAAAACGCCCGAACAGCTCACAGATTCACCGAGTAAGGTCCTCGTCCGTTGATAAGATGCATGCATAGAGACGAGCTCAGGGGGTTTCTCGGTCGCCTCTTGGCGCAAGTGCCGGTCGACGGCGAATAGTTCTTACAGGTAGATACATGCACGGGCGAATAGTGCCTTTGGGATGGCTACGCCAGCATTACACACAACCAACACACCATGGGTGTTGCTCTCTTTTCTCAGTACATATGTATATGCACCTCGCTCCTACGTACACGGTTGTTGTCTTTCCCTTGCTCTTTTCCCTGCTCGCCCTTTCATCTCCGTTTCCCTCAACTGGAAGTGCCGCTTGTTCTTACACTCGATCCCCCCCCCCGCCCCTCGCGCGTTTTCATTGGTAAATACCAGTCGCCAAGCAAGACATCTGGTTGGAGGAGCGGTCCGCGGGGCGGCTGCAGAACACCCGCCAAGGACACTTAGCCCCGTCGATATTCTTCGACCAGTGGCAGGGGTACTACAGCGCGGAAGTCGCTGCGTTTTCCTGCTGACAAGAAAGCCAGGAGAGAGAGAGACGCCGTGTTGTCAACCGTAAACTATTTATGTAGAAGCACGGGACGTGTGTGTGATTGGCTGTTGAAGGAAGGCCGCGCTCCATCACTTTCCTCACACCGATCTACATCGCATACGTGCCGCTGCTGTACGAGGGAGACGATGGGAACTCGTTCTATCGTCATGGGTGTGGCGAGCGGAGGGGGAGGGAGGTTTGTGTGTTGTTGAGGGATTGATTGGGTGGCGGAGAGTTGTTGCGTGTGTGTGTGTTTTTATTATTAGCATCGACCGCGCTAACCGGCTGACCAATGAAAAGACGTCAGTCTTAGTGCGGTTGAAAACACAAAACACTTCTATCTACCATGAACTGGGACCCCGTGAGGGGGCAGTGCGTATGTCGCCGTTGTGGAATGGAACACATGTCAAGCAGAAACAGCCGCCAATAGCGACACTCCGACGGCGGTGTTCAGTTTCGGGCAATGCGGGACCTCTCCCATGATGTTTTTTTTTAGATGGGTGCGCTAGTGACGAACTTCCGCAAGTCCATGCTGTAGTAGTACAAAAATAGTGAAACAAGAAAGCTAGTTGTCGACTTGTGTTTGTAGGAGTGTTGGTCTGTTCTGTGTGAGAGAGATACGTTGTGCAGGATTTTCGTAGTGTAAATAGATATGTGGTTTTAAGTTCGTTCCGGAGAGGCAGATGCTGCTACGGGCCTCGAGCTGAGTGAGATGTGTGTATTTGGTGCTTCATTCTACTCCCGTTCTCCGTGAAAGCAGCGGGAAGAATTGTGATTGGTTGGTGCCGCGGGAGAGCAGAGGCAGTGCTGCGAGGTGCGTCGAAACGGCGGCGGTATTCGAGGCAATGTTGAGAGGTTCGTCCAATTGGCAAAAATCGAGCCCCACCTAGTCCCGAATCGATGAACGCGGGGTCTGGAGCTCCGGCGAAAGCACGCCAGACTTACGGCACGAGTGGTTTTTGAGATGGTCGGTGGACGTGTACATGGATTGTCGAAAGACTCGACAGAATGTGCCTGGGTCCCAAAGATGTATATGTGTCCCATTGTTGGAAGAAAGAAAAGAACATAGCCACGTATAGCTGCGGCGTTTTCATCGTGCGGCACATTCCATGTATGTTACTGGCAAGGGGATACCTGGGTCAAGCTTTCGTGGTGTGTCTCTTCTTGTGCAATGGGAGAGGGAGGTGTGTGACCTGACCACTGGTGTAGTATTCTTTTCGTGGGTGTTGCTTTCAAGCCTGCAGGGACCCTTGATGACTAAATGTGTTTCGTGTGGCGTGGTTCTGTTGTGCCAACATGACGTGCTGCGGACTTGCCTGCTCTAGTCTAGTCTGTACCTGCTGGTAGTGGTGCACTCTCATGTATCGCCACGTTGGCAACATAGCAGTGGTCCCGGTATGATGCCGGTGCTATCCAGCCGATTTCACCGCCATTATTAAGTTTATGAAACAACTTGAAATTCCATCTGCGCCAGACGATAGGGGGGAGTTTCGGAATTATGTGTGGTTTTGCCCAGACTCTGTTGCTGATCAAATAAATATCAAATATCTGAGCCTTCTGAACAGGAACAATCGCCTCAACGAGATAAAAATGAGGTTGGTGAGAGGTTTTAATACGAGCCGTGGGTGAAAAGTGGGGCAGCCTCAGACAAATAAACCGTGACCGGCTACAGATTCCAAAGATCTTGAAAAAATAAAAATCTGACCACTTTTGAGCTTTTTGTCTGACCCAAAAATATCTATCCGGCATTATGCCCGGGAAACCGGCGTTACCGTGACCACAACTGCACCGCGAAGCAGTGCGTGACGCTGCGCCGGGTGGTTCGATTAATGGTTCATGGCCCATTACCGCGGCCACAGCAATACGCCACATCCACAAGGGAAAGGGCGGCCGTGCTAATGTACGTTGTGGTTGGGGAAACACGGTACTGCTTAAAGTCTAATGCTTTATTTTGGTAGGTGAAGGGTGATTAAAATTCGGGTTGCTGTGCCGAGTATGCCCTCTCCTCTACCGTCGAAGCATCAAGCACAGCACTTGTTTTTTTGACGGGCACACAAAACTCCCCCTTAACAGCCAAAAAACTAACCGGAGGCTCCATCTGCTGCACCGACCGCAAGACTCACATGACACATGCTCGCTTCTTTGTGCGGATCAACTACAACCATCAACCGTAGCGGCCACAAAGCATCCGACCCTAACCTATCCTCTGGTCGTACCCTCTGCTCGTAGGTAAAGTAGCCCATAAAGCCTTCGCCCTAGCCTCTTGTCGTCGCCAGACTTAAAAGCCTTGCACTTTAAGTGCCTCTACCGCACTCCTCCTCAAAAGATCATGTCACCATGTGAATACGTACGCGGCTACCCCAAACAACAAAAACCGACACGAGGTTGCTCGGTACGGTGCGGTGCGGTACGGAAAAGGTTCGTCATACCGGCATGAAAACTGTCCACCAATCACCGTTCGTTTAGCGTTTTCCACGTTCTAAACAATGTATTGTACAAAACCAAAAACATTACACGTTGTCGCTGTCGGGCAGGGCCCGTGAGCGCAAGCTCTTCCGACGAACACATCACGACACACGCGTTGCGGCCCATGAACGCATCCAACCAATCAGCATCTTGCAGGCCCACTCTTTTTCCGCCAATCGTTGTTTTCCGGGTCAGACACATTAACACAAGCGAAATCACGTGCCATGGTACGTCAAATCCTAGCCTTCCCCGATGATTGCGATAAACCGGGCTCGCTCCCCTTTGCCAAACGCTCATCAACGAAACAAGTGCTGTAACTTAGCCATTATTGCTCCTACTGTATGCGACTTTCGACAACAACGTCCTCTGTTCGACAACCCAACAGCACAAAAATGCAATCCACCACGAACGTACCCCCCCCC